TAGAATGTTAATTACATTTAGGAGTAATTAGAGTTTCATTTGAGTCACATGTTTTGTGCCAAAGGTAGCTGCACATGTGTACATTCAAATGAACCCTAAATTACCTCTAAATGCAATTAAGAATCTAGAAGGAAGGGCTGCACATGGGTTAGGATAAGTGGACGTCCAATTTGAATTCAAAATTGGTGCCACTTTTGAGTGCACAACATGTGATGGCTCCAAAGACTCCTTTGATCCGTGGCTTTAAATGCTTGACTCCTTCACTATTGTAAATACTTTGGAACCTTGAATGAGAATTTACTCTTTGATAATTCTCTCCTCCGAAGTCTCCTTTTGATCCTAGCTTCTACCCTACTTGAGATCTTCTCCTTGTAGAGCTAGGATTCCCACACCTTCTATCCGGAATAGATAGGTGAACCTTGGATACACTTACCTCTTCTTCAATTCTTCCAAGGATCCGAGAAGAGGTTTCATGAAGCATCCATGAGGTTTTCTTCAAGAAGAACCTCATCAGGAACTCTTGTTCCATACTTTCCTTTACTGGTAACTGCATATTGTATGCAAGATGCCCACTCAGAAACAGATTTGGTAGGAAAAAAGGGTAGTGGTGTCTATAAATTCGGTTAAAATGTCTTATAATAAGAAATGGAAGGAGTACCACAGAATTATCACATCACTAGTACTAAATACAACTAGATATCATACTGATACACATCCATCAATATCTAAAACTGAATATATCTCTAACTAAAAATCACTAATCAAGAAATTATATAATACCAAATCAACAGCAAAGTTCAGATGCTCATCCTTTAACATCAGTAAGATATTGTACATTTTGATTTTACATCTATATAATTTTGTTTTTGGGTTATCACTCAAAATATCTCTAGTTATTAGTTGTTATCGAATTGAATCCAACTTGTGGCATTTTGTATTATGGTTTTAATTTGTATAGGTTAGATATCACTATTATGGTTATTTTTTAGAAGAGTGTTATGTATCTTATTTTGGTAGAGGCATTTGCACACACAACTCCATATTGTTAGATATTGTCCACTTTGGATTTAACTTTCATAATTTTGCTTTTAGTTACCATCTAAATTTTTTTTAATAAATAGAGTATGTGTGTTTTATAAACTCTTATTTATCCACTTATTCTAACAATGTGGGTCTTGGTCTGTGTCTCGATCCCAACATATATAATAATATGTATTGGAAAAAATTCACTTACTTCAAGAATAACTTTTAATAGAGTTATTTCATCTAATAATTCATTATCTATATATTAAATTTAAACAATTTAACCTTTTAATTAAAAAAATTAATATATAGGTCAATTAAAAAAATTTAATTCATAGATCAACTTTTGGGGAAGAGTAAACTTATGATAGGTTAGACGTGAGAATAATATCTTTTTGTTTGATTGTATAGTTGGGAGGTGAATTGGTGACTATTTACTATTTATCTCATTTTATTTTGTCATAAATAGTTGATGTTTAGTATATGACCACAACAACAACTCATATTTTTACATTTTGTAAATCGAATTTCGGTACCCTATACCAATTTAATATTATTTTTTCTTGGCACCAATAAAAAAAATAAATATTTATAAAATTTAAAAGTTATTTGATATTTCATTACATAAATTTAAATTAATATATAATATATTTTATAAATAATTTAAATTTATATAACAAAATTTTTAATAACTTTTTAATTTTACAAAAATTTATAAATTATATATATATATATTAAAA